CTCGATATAACTTTAATTCACAAGCATTGTAAGCAAAGATTGATAGTGGCTAGCAGTGGAATCCAAGACTCGCGTTTCGTTCAATTTAGGACTTGTCAGCTGGATGTACTTGCATCTCAGAGTCGATGTACACTCTGAGACTCGAAATCAGCACCGCTCGCTTCAAACGTCATCGCGTTATCAACTTTAAATTTAAACTCCACTCCATTGCGCAAGCAAGTGGCTATCAGGACTCAGCAGCTGAGTGGATACCGCGATGGCGTTTGGAGAGAAAGGTGCTGGGTTCGAGCCTCAGAGTGAACATCAATTCTGAGATGCAAGCACATCCAGCTGACGAGTCTGCTAGTCACTATCCATCTTAACTCATAATTTATATTGTGTTTGGTAATCTGCAGTAACAAATAACTTTAATATTTGACCTTGCATATTCAACATGTTACGTAACATTTTGATGTTTCATTTTATTATGAATACTTCTTTATAGAATTTAATTGATTCAGTAACTAACATTGCGTACTTATATCTATCTATTTGATTATTATATAGCTACGAAACAATAATTTGTCTGCATAATCTTACTAGGGTTTGACTGGAATGAAACAGTTTTATATTGATTTATAAAACAATTGCGTTCTACAAACGGTAAGATGAAAAACGTAATATCAAAAATTTATTTGATTAATGATATTGAAAAACTATCTTAGTAATAAATCATATTCAATGGAAATGAACAAATTTATATCCCTACAATCATATTATTAAGAGTGATTATTAGTATATACTCATTCACATAATAGAAACAACAAATAGCATTGTAATTTTAAAAACACAGACTATCACCATTTATAAACACAGATAAAAATATAAACAAGCTATTACGTACGTTAATGTATTGAATTAGATAGTGAGACTCTAATTTATGGGCGTCCTATGAGCAACGCTCAAGGGACCTGCAAAATATCCATCTACTTACTGCGGCTGTAGGTTATGAACTAGCGTGAGTAATTAAGATGATGATTTACTGTGATGGTTAGCGTTAGGAATCAGACTAAAATTTTTCATTACGGACTGACATCGGCTAAAATGTTAAAACGTTATTCAACCTAAATGATGAATCAATTTTGTGTCAAAATCCATAACGTGTTATCCTAGATCTGATTGGTTCGTCCCTAAATTATAGTCTCACCAGAGCAAATGAGTTATAGTCTTCATTAACTAACCTGTCCTATTATCATCCCTATTTGGTTAACTAGTATTTCTTTCTATTAGGTGAACGTGATTCAAACAACTTCACGTAGAACATTGAGCTGATATACATAAACATATTGTATAAAATGACCAAACATTATAAAACTCACTTGAACCCTACCTTGTTACAGTAACAAAACGTTTTCTGATGCAAATGACTTACATGAAAAAAATTTTAAAAAATATCTTCAGTACAATACACTTATCTTTCGTTATGTAAAACTTATTTACCTATTAAACAAACATAAACATTCAATTACTATTCTGTTCTCAAGTCATCTGACTGTAATGAGTAACTTAACAATCTCCACAATCCCATACTGATAATTGCATACATATATTTGCTACCCACAAGACGAACAATTTTTCTTCCACATTTTTAAAAATATACCGATCACAGAATTGAATATTTTTAAAAATAATATTGATCTAATTTCATTGACATTATCATAAAGGTTTTTTACCAGGTTGATTTACTAATTAGACTACTTAAATATATATTCAGGGTATAAAACTAGGCCATGTTTTGAAAATTCATTTATAATAAACTATAATTTTTCAATGAATTAACTTCAATAACATGTGACTTCCCAATTTAATGTAGATTGTTATTACACATTTTTTTTACTATTTTATGTAAACTATACATCTAAAGATCTTGTAAACAAGATCCCTTTTAACAGTAAAATATGAAGAATTAATTACTATAGAGAATATTTATTGGACAGTTATGTCACATGTAATAACCATCTGTAATTGTAGAATTATTCAAATATATAAATACCCATATTTATTTTGATCCTAAATAGCAAAACCAATGTGACGTATAGAATTAAAGAATAAGTTGATTGTTCCATTATACTTCTACTCTTTAACTATTCAGTAGTTATTTGATAATTAACTTAGTCATGATACAATTTATAGACAAAATAGGTGTATAGAAGAAATTACGTAATTTTCAATTACGTATAGTACATTAGCTATGAAATAGATTATTTAGTCAAATCTCATCAGTTATATTTCATTTAATAACTCAATTTATTTCAGTTTAAAGAAAGTTTCCTATTTTCTTGTTAACTTAACAAAGATAACTACAGTTATAACATCATTCAATTTGAATTCACTTAGTAATGTTTGTTTGAATCTTCCACTGATGTTTAGGACCGCAACTGTTCGATCTTTTATTAGCATATGTGCATATTGTGCGTATTGCCTCGATATAGCCTTAATTCACAAGCATTGTAAGCAAAGATTTATAGTGACTAGCAGTGGAATCCAGGAGTGAACATCAACTCTGAGATACAGTTGCATTCAGCTGACGAGTCCCAAATTGGACGAAACGCGCGTCTAGGATTCCACTGCTAGCCATTATCCATCTTTGCAAATTATTCAATTTGGTTTTGAACTTTTTATCTGAAATGTGCGATTCTAAAGGGAACTAGACATGATGATCCAATTATCACAGTACGTATGTATTTAATCTCTTAATACCTTAATTAAGCAGTCGGCTACACAGTTGCGTATTCGGTAATGTGTGAACATATTATTATTTGTGTCGAAGTTTCCTTAATCTGAGAAAGGCAAAAATAAGTGTGCGTAAAAATTCCTAAACAGTATACTTGAAATCACAGGTGATACTGTGATTATCTAAATTAGTAGGACCGATTTCTAGCATTCGCTAAAATGTATTATTTTATAACTTTTATCACCCAGTTATTCAGACAGTAGCGCAAGACGTACATTATTTAGAAGTGATGAATTACTGAACTAAATAGTTGTTCACTTCACCCTGATTTCCAGCGGTACCGCAACTGAAATCAGGCTGTGACGAAGGCCGCCTAAAAATTAGGTCGATGTCCACAAAATCACCCCGCAAAAATTTTAGGATTTGTCAATAATCATAATCTTTTCTTACTATTCAACCAAAACTAGATTAAATACATAATTAATTTACATTGATAGTCGGTCGGAATATTAATAACGCATCTGTTGTTTGAAATAACAATATGTTTTAAATATTATTGAAAATCACAAATACAATGATCTCAACATAAAGAAATGCTTTGTGCAAACTTTCCCTTGTGGCGCATGTACCTTATAACCGAATAAACAGCTTCACAACAAAATGAAATACAGATATTACTGGCTTTGTGGACTACTGTTTATCACATTATGACTGATCGAAAAGAAACCATCGTCGTTTTGAAATTGAGCTGTGATAAAGAATGATGAGAAATATTATGTTACAGGTAAAACATTCTACTTCTAAACTTTTCACGATTGCACCAACACAATCCATTGCTTTGATCACCGCATTGTTGCTGATGATGTGTACTGCCTTCCACTTAAAATCTTGAAAATTCCTTCATATAGTCATCTTGTTTATTTAAAAAATAGTTTAATCATGGTTTTTGGAAATTGATCGAGCTCAAAACAATTTTATATACCTACCTTGTAATCATGGTAAAAGTATATTATAGGAAAAACCAGTAAGACTCAAGAAAGCGACCTAAACGATTACGCGGAATTCAGAAATTACGTAAAATAAGCAGTAGAAATAACTTTGGATATATTTTGTCGTCATAAAGTAGAAATGATGTTACACATTTCATATGTTCATTATTTTATGTAGTTCACGTTTAACAGGGAAGTGAATAGTATTTCGAAGTCCTAACGCTTAATTCCAAAACAAACATCAACTTATTTAATGTACGGTCTTTCCAGTCGTTGAACGAAATAAACTCATCTACATGGTTTTAAAGTATTTTGCAATATAGCTGTAATCAGATCGTTATAAAGACCATAACCCTAAATATCTAACTCTAAATAAAATAATAATGGGACTCTTCTTAAAGATGGATAACTTAAATTCATAGATATGTGTGAGTTTTTTTTTAATTTACAAGAGGAGTTAATTACATAAGGTGTCAATAATTTTATCGATTGTATAAGATGTGCTAGTACTTCCCAATGTTATTGATTTCTTTCCCATAAACTATTTATTACCAAAATATGTCTTCTGGTTGACTAAGAATTGGAAGAAAAATCACTGAGGTTGTTTTAAGTTCATCCAATACTAAACATTTACTGTAATCACAAAAGGTAACTTTAACGAAAAGATGTTAAAAAAAATACACGTAAGTTATATCCGTTTCCGAAAATAACATAATGAGAAATATTTATTATCAGAAGGGGGTTTCGTGGAGATTTTAGTAATTTTATATAGTTGAGATCATGAGTCAATTGAAGCTAAACCACCATGGAAAACCTGGAAGCGCTGGATGGCCGTTTCGTCCTATTGTGGGGCCCTTCATTAGTGCGAATCCACGATCCCACCTCGTGAGATTCTAACCCAGGATCTACCAGTCTCGCGCGCGAGCACTTAACCGATAGACCACTGAGTAGGCATCCAACGGGTGTTACTGTCCCCGCGAAGAGTCCCACAATAGGAAGAAACGGTGCTTCTAGGTTTTCCATAGTAGTCTAACCTCAATTGACTAATGATCTCAACTATATAAAATATTTATTACCCATAAATAAATTCTAGTAAGTGAAAGAGAAAACGGCATACTGGGAATTGCTTTGATGTATATCTTCTTCTTGGTAGAAAAACTACGGCTAGAAAATATCACGTTTTCAACAACCGTGATACTAATCATCTAGAAAGTTCTATTAATTAAATTAATAATATTAATATTATCATCACAATAGTGATGATCGCATTAAATCATTAAAAGAAAATGAAAACAAATAAACTTTCATACATATTTAAAATTATTTATTTTTTTATTGTTTTACATGAAAGATCCGAAATCTTCAAAATATTTGACACATTTACATAGAATGAATCAAATAAACAAATAGTAGATAATGTTTATTATAATTATCTTAAAGCCCAATACAACATGACATCTTTGTTATCATATATAAAGTATATTAGTTTATTAGCTCTACAACTGAATGATTTAATAATGAAGTTACTCAATTTTGCCACAAAAAAAAATGTATGATTTGCCTGCTTCTGAAGAAATCTCTATTCTTTTTTTATTGTTCATCAATGGCATATAATAGTGAGAAAAGAAACCGAAGAAACAAAAAAAGAAGAATCTACATGAATAAATATTCTATGAAAATAGTTGATTCCATTGAAGCCTTCTACAGGTTGTTGATGAAAATATGAATATGCTCTTAGCATTATCAACCAATGTTTATACAATGATTATTATATAACTTCATCGATTAGTAGAAGTTTACATATATATATATATTTACCTAAAGGTCATTTGAAAATTAAATAAACATCAAGGATAAACAGTAAATGAAAATGATAAAGTGCAGTTAGAAAAGAAAACACACTAACTAAAATTGGTATCTGCGGTTAACATGAACTTTATGTACAAAAATATCTATCGTAGAATTAAGTTTAATTAATTCATAGTTCATTATGTTGATAAAATATGTAAATGTGTATTCTGTATGGTGAATAAGATATTTGACTGTTCTCTATATTTGTAGTTGGTTTAATTTTGAGCATAATATTGATTAAACAAAATTGATTTTTTAGAAGGATTCATGAATTGATGGAAAAAAAAAAACACAATTACAATGTTATAAGAAGAAAACCGAGAGTATATGATTACTTTTTTATTGTAATGGAATTTTGTTTCAAGGCACTGGTTATAGTTGTATCATATTGACTATTAACACTACTCTCGTTATGTGACATTGTTTTTATGGATTTACTACTACCACTACTATTGATATTGTAAGTAATACTACGAACTTTTGTATTTATATGTTGTTCTTTATTGGTAATATCATCATCATCATCATCTGTTTCTAAAGATGAAGAAATAGAATGTGAAATATCATCTGATTCTGTTTCACGATGATAGAAATAATTAAAGTTTGATACAATCACAGGAACAGGAAGTGCAATAGTTAGTACACCAGCGATAGCACATAATGAACCAATTAATTTACCCCATACAGTTACCGGTCGCATGTCACCATAACCAACTGTGGTCATTGTTACAACAGCCCACCAAAATCCATCAGGTATACTACGAAATAATGAAGTGTCAGCATCAGCTTCAGCAAAATATACAGCTGATGAAAAGAGAATAACACAAATCAGTAAAAAGAATACTAATAATCCTAATTCTCTAACACTTGCTCTTAGTGTTTGTCCTAAAATTTGTAGTCCTTTTGAATGTCTTGATAATTTGAATATACGAAAAACGCGAACAAGACGAATAACTCTTAGTACAGCTAGTGATGTTGTCTGATTAATTTGTTTCGGATCATCGATAATTACAGCACCAAGTGTTATGAAATATGGTATAATTGAAACCACATCAATAACATTCATCAGCACCTTGAAAAACTCAAACTTTTTCGGAGATGAAGCAAAACGTACTAGTAGTTCACAACTAAACCATACTATACAAAATGTTTCAATGATAAAAAATGGTTGATCAATTGTTGGTAAATCATCTTCTTCAAAAGTTAATTCTTCATAACATAAAGTAGAATTAAGGTTATTTATTATTTTATATCGACGAAAATGTGGTAGAGTTTCCAAACAAAAAATTATAATTGATAAGAGAATAACAAATATTGAACCAATAGCTAGTATACGTGCAGCTAATGAACTTTCTGGATATTCAAATAAAAGCCAAACTTTACGTTGAAAACGATTTCTTGGTAGAATTTTTGGTTCCTCCTTAATAAATCCTTCTTCTTCACGATATTTAGCCAATGCCTCTTCACCTAATTCATAGAATTTTATTTCTTCATTGAATACATCTATTGGTACATTAACAGGTCGTCGAAGTCTCCCACCGCTTTGATAAAAATAAAGTATACCGTCAAAGCTTGATCGATTTCTGTCGAAAAAATATTCATTTCTTAACGGATCATAATAATGATTACGTTTATTGGGATTACCTAGTAAGGTATCAGGAAATTGATTGACAGTTTGTGCTTGAGTTTCAAAACGTAAACCGCTTACATTGATTACTAATCTTTCACTTTCAATTTCCGGACGAAATATTTCATCTGAAGTGAGTTGATCGATTCCTGTTTCCTCTTCCAGGTTTTGATTTATTCTGTAAAAGTAATTTAAATGACTATTTTGACAGCTAAATATACTCTCGAAAAGATTTATATGACGAATATAATGATAGGATTCATATTTTGATTATGTGACTTAAATTACAATCATATCAGAAAGCCGATAATTTTTTATAAAAAACAAAGTAACTCTCAAATGTGCTTATAGCCAGAAAAACGTGAGTTTATTTTATTGATAATCAAAACGTCAAGACTGCTATGTGATACACTGATTGTGAAACGAAAGAGTTCATTTAGTAATAAATAAACTTGAAGTCAGTTTAGGGTTGTAGAGACTGTTGAATTGCAATCGAGATCATGAACCAATCAATGTTAGAAAACCACCCCTTGAATGTCACTAACAGAGGTCTAGGGTTTAAGCGTTCGAGCAAGACCGAAGGTCATGGATTCGATTCTCGCGTGTGGGATCGTTGATGCGCACTTCTAAGGAATCCCATGCTAGGAAGAAGCAGTCGTTCAGTGTTTCCAGGTTTTCAATCGTGGTCAAATACTGATCGGTTCATGATCTTCATCAAAACCTAAAATTACAAAAAACTGAGGTTTTGAAACAAATTTGTTTTAATGCTTTTGTGCGACTGGTTTGAAGATACACTAAACTACTTAATTATAATCAGTTTCGCTGGAAAGCAACCAAGATTCTGGAGTCAATCAAATGACTATTAATTTTAAAATGACGATTAATATGGAGGTGCTTATGTTGCACTTGAGGCTGGTTGAATAACAAAATGTTTATATTTATATTGTGATCTAACAAATGATGTATTTTAAATCAAATTTTATTGGTAAACCGACAAACTAAATCGCATATACGTTGTTCATATTGCACATGAAAGCCTATTCTGCATACAACTTACTTTGAAAAATGTCAAATTTTCAGAGATTCTATTTAATAGCACTTTTACGGGAGTCAAATCCTATATCACGAGAAAGAGAAGATCAAAATTGCAAGGTTAGAGTATGTAGCCCATCTAAATAATCATCAGCTAGAATAAATTCAATTTATATCTTGAGTGTTTCTTACATACAATATCGATCACAAATAACAAATGGCTACTGTCATTTGTGTATATTGTTTGGGATAACATTCAAAATTACAGCCAATTATTTGAAGTAAAATTCAACTTGTGACAGAACCAAGAAAATTATATTACTAAGTGAAAACGTCAGGTCTAAAATGTGAAACTTCTAAGAAAAGAATTTGATTTGGTCGGTTTATTCAAAATAATCAGAAGAACTGTTCTTTTCAACTACTTTTTGGCGCTTTTTATTTATACTACTCAGGGAGTGAATTGTAACAATTATGTATATTTTTTGTTGAATAAAACCCTTGAATGTAACAATGGTTTTAATTGATCACTATAATCACTAAATTTCGCGTTATCTTCCTCAGTATTGTGTGGCCTGACAATCTCTATATATTACATCTCATTCTACTTTATTCTCCTCTATTGTATAAAGATAATACGCAGTAATTTACTCTTCTGTAACATGTATAAAATGTATGTATTGCAAAATTAAGTGTCTGTCAAATGTAACCAAAATATACGCTTCCTTTGGATAAAAATGAAATTAATCTATCTGATTGGTTTAAAGATGGTATTTATTGAACAACAAATTGCAATTTCCACTGATTGCTACGAATCCATCTTGTGATATTGATTTTAGTCAACTTATTGAGATGGAATCAAAAAGTTTCAAGTATTCAGTAAATAAGCATTTGTTTTCTGATTAGTTAAAAGCCTCAAAAAAAGTTGAAATTTAGACAAACCTATATGAGATTTCATGGAATTTTTAAAGAGCAGATAAGAACTTGCTGTTTACATTATGGTAGCTTCATTGTTTTTGTTGTTCTGAAGCATTTTTGAAACTTTGAAGTATGTATTATATTGAAAAAATTTATTAGGTCTACTCGCATGTAAAATACAAGGCTTTGTACATGTATCGCAGTTCATGAAACACTAATACTCAACTACTTGAGATTTAAAGCTAACTAATAAATGATCAAGCAAGGTCATTTTCTGATTTTATTTAGCAGAAAATCTATTATCTGATATTCAGATCCTTCCAAATGATCACCAGTCAAACTGCTAACTTGGGTGTTTAAATAAGAAGTTATAAAAATAACATAATTATCTGTGAATATTCATAATTTAGATTTTACAGCAAAATCTTTGGCTGTTATAGATTCAATGGTTAGAATTGTTTTTTATCTATATGGATAATGATGCTTTAAAACAGAAAGCTTTCTAGGTATATACCACTGAACAAATCTTTATTTTTCGTTCTTTCAATCACATTCGACTTCAATGTATACCGAAATAACAGGACGTTTTCAGCACTGGGATCGCCTATAATTTGCTTGTTATTTGACATGATATGAATATTTCGAAATCCTCGAATATAATCAAATAAGAAACGGCTTTAAATTTAATGGTCTTTTAAAAGATTTAAATCAAATCCGTGCATTCAAAATTAACAATACTGTTAATTCTGCTTTGACTTAGTCATCTAAGCTATAAGGATTACTTGCGTAAGATCAGATTTTCACACCCTTAATAGTAAATTCTCTTTTCGCTTTTCACCCTTCTATCTGAGCCCTACTTAGCTACCTAGTCTCAGTTTCGGATTTACTATTGCGTACTCAATCGTATTAAACTTTTGTTTTTCGAAACTTGTTCTTGTGCAACGAATCACTTTCTTTTGTGTGATACTTTTGAAGTTAAGGGAAAATCAATCAACTGCATGAACTGCTGTTTTAAATCTCATGTTTATTGTCTTTCTGAAAATCTTTTGTGTCTATCTAAAGATTAACCAAGGTTTTTCTATAAATGGCATATGAAATATATGTGTTCGTTTGTTCATAATGATAAATTCTATTGTTTTTATGTCGTGTGTGGCTCAAAAGAATTCATAAAATTAATTCACTTTATTCTTCTACGATTTTCCATTGTATAGAAATAAATTAGCTCATAATAGGATAAACAGTATTGAAATTTGTTTTTCCGTTTTTAAAACTTTCCCAGTGATGACTTATGATTGAACATGGAAATCTTCGTATGGAAGAAAGAAACTAGACACAACACTCGATATCAGTTATTATATGCCTAATAAACCATAGAAACGGAAAAGGAAACACAGTCGGTACCTTAAATATAACTTGGTAGTTGAGATCTTTTGGTGAACTCTCTACGTGAATGCAGTAATATATGTTTAGGAAAAGTGTATTTTTAGCTAACCACGTTATAATGAATAGAGAACTAACGAAATGTTCGCAAATTCTAAGACAAGGGTGTCCTAAGTGGAAAATAAACTAGGAAATTTCTTCATAAGGACAGGAGCTGAACAACATAATTATCTGCCTATGTTCGCTTCATGTTAAGACAACTTTCTTATAACAATGACGAATATTTATAATCGCTAGCTAAAAGTTCGAGCGAAAAATGTTCTATTACTGTGATCGGTTTACACAATTCAAAATCTGATAACGATATTATTCTCTTATGAAGAAAGACAGTAAACGGTCATAAATCATAAGAATTTCAGTGAACTGGGTGTCTCTCAAAACACTTCATCCATAACTTTACAATTATTGGGAAAAATTAAGGGATGAATTTGTAACCAAGTAAATAAAAAGAAATAGGAGTAAAATTGTATTGTACTTACTTTCTATTACAATAGGCCAATGTTCCATGAGGTAACAGAAGAGTGGATGCTGTTCCTGATAAGGTGGACATGTGAAAAGTTTAATTGTGCTCATTTTATGTGTTTACATGACCAAGGTAATTATCTCATTATTTAACCAAAAATTTTTTGTTTTAGTAAAATGTTTTTAATTAAAATTACAGGTAATTTAACCAAAGATATTATTTACATAAGTTTTAAGGAAAGATTTGAATTAGTATTTATTCTGTATTTATATCCACAATTCAATTGATTTATTAACATGTATCGATACATCCATAATCAGTTACAGTGACTTCTAGAATCGGCTATCAAATTCAATAAGTAAACTGAGGACCTTATCTACGCATATCCTTTACCATGATTTATTCTGTAATAAGATCCACTTACACGGTTGTCACAGTTATCTCTGTCGTGTCAATCTTACACATATGAATTTTCCATGAAAGTGAAAATTCCTCAATATATGTCTGTCTATCGATACTGCGATCTTCACCTTATGTCTTATTGTCAGGTTGTGTGTATGCACGTTAAGAAAATCCTTTGTAGATTTGTGCACGAGCGATATACAGACAAAACATTAGGGTATTTTCTATTGGTTTATTCTACTTATCCTGATTTTTTTCACACTAGACATTCTCTTATACAACACATTACTAACCTACGGTCTTCATATCAGTGGCAATCGCACCGGGAAAGTTTATCAAAAATTATTGGATACAAAATCATTTACAACAGAGAACCTATTCCATTTGTCTGACAAACGTGATATATTTCGATATAATTTTGGAATCTAATCAATAATAACAGATCTTTAGTAAAAAGAAAAATTAGTATACAAATAAGCGTGTAAAGTTCAAGCAAAAAAGAAACCTTAATATTATCCAAAAACTCATAAATAAATTACTCTTAATGAAATAACATAACCTGCAAGTCAGATAAACAAAGGGATGGATAACAATTTCAATTATGACCTACTGATATTCACACACACACATATACATGATTATAAATGTATTCAAAGCTAAAAATAGCCATAGTTAATAAAAAAAACTGTCTTAAGTTTAAATGAAATTCAGAAGGAAAAAAAAAGAAATTGTGAAATGCGCAATTATATGAAAACGGAGTGAATGCAAAAAAAGTAAAGAGGGAACAGGTATTAGACGAAAAATATAAATATTATCAACATTTGTGTATTGCAATACATTTACTTAACAACTAAAAGTTCATTACATTGTACTTTTAATATTATTAGTACAAAAAAGAGGCATTAATATTAACAGTGTCTGTAATCGAATAAAACTCTAAACATACCAACATTATCATATTATATAAAAACTTTCGTCTAATTTAAAGCGAATAGTTTCACAGTATTTGGGCGCCGAGTTGATGGAAGACATTAAATAGGAAGAATGTATTAGTAAAATCTTAGCGAATGAATCTGAAGTAAAGCCAACGTTTTGCCTGGCAATCAGGTCCAAGTTTTTTCAAGGAAATATTATTTTTATAGTTTGTTTAATAATGATCTGAGATATAAACCATATGAATAAAAATTTATAAAAAAAATATCATAATACTATCAGAAGAGGGTTTTGTGGAGATTTTAGTAATTTTATATAGTTGAGATCATAAGTCAAATGAAGTTAGACCACCATGGAATACCTGGAAACACTGGATGGTCGTGGATGCGCACTGCTAAGGAGTCCGACGATAGAACGAAACGGCTTTCCAGTGCTTTCAGGTTCTCCATGGTGGTCTAGCTTCAATTGACTCATGATCTCAACTATATAAAATCATAATACTAAATTTATTTTATTTTTCCTGAACATAAATATCAATTCTAGCATGACTACTATGAAACTATTTTACCATTAAAGACTATGTTATTCTAGAAAGACTGAATAGAACAACAAAGTAACCAACCATCCAAGTCTAGATGAAAACGCTTGAAATTCTGCCTTCATTATTTTAAAAAAAAAAAAACATTTCTTCAACAGTTGATAAACCATTAATCAAGACGTACGTAGGTATTTGAATTTTGAAATTTTTCATGTTTCATTCTGTGATAAATTTGATCAACAAGGTTTAGAGTTTTATAGATATTGGAATTTAATTTCAGTACATTCATAGCTTGTTTTATGTAATAGAAAATCATACTTTGCTTTCAGTGTGGTACATATGTACACTGCTTTTAATAATTAATGCCACTATGTTTACGTTGTAAGCAGCTGATAAGAAACCACGAAGTCATAAGCAGATTTAAGCTAAACCACCATTAAATAACTGAAAGCACTGGATAGACTTTTCGTTCTAGTTTGGGACTACTCAGCAGTGAGCAATCACGACCCTTCACATGGGAATTGGACCCAGGTCCTTTGATGTTGCGCTTTACTACTGGCGTTTAGACCTTTGAACCGGTATCCGACGGTGTTAATATCCAACCTCAATCAATCCACGGTATTGTGCACCATCTTCCATTGTTTTTAGTGAGTAAGTCTTTTGCATATGACACGGTTGAATTCTACTAATCACACCTCAATGGCACTCTGGACATTTCCTTTCGAAGTTAGTCACTAGTAGACACATGGTAATTTTCTCAATGAGGTTGTGTGTGGTTTTGAATTTCACTGAAATCATAAACCAATCTAAGCTAAACCACCTCTGAAAGCACTGGAAGGAAACCTCAGTAATATTCATGCACGACCTCGCAACCAATAATTATTCATGTTATTCTGTCACGTTAATCGACATTTTCTTTGATCAAATGACCTAGAAATTCCAAGAGGTTGACTAAATATTAAATAATTTATCAATGTGGGTTTTATGGTTTTATAAATCTTCCCCAATTATTTGAATTTATGTTAAAAACGGTAAATAAAAAAAGATATCGGTCAGATGATAAATGTCCTTATTGTTCTATGAGCCATAGCATTAAAAACCATTCGTCTCATGTTTTGTTTTCTTTATCCATATTCTATAAAAGATTTATGCATGATAAACATCATTATTTTAGAATTATTTTTTATCTGATCAGGTTATTTTATTATTATTAATCACTAAACTAATTTTCTCATGGAGATCATAGAATACATGTATGCTATAATATAGATTTTGTTCACCTTTTAGAGTACAGAATGATTGAGTTAGTTAATAAATTTACATATATACGAAATACTGATGTCAAATTTCAATCAATCTTGTTGTGTTTGTGTGGGGAGGGGTGGTATTCAAGTTACAGATTAATTAATAAAAACAATATCTGCAAATATGAGAATGCAGGTACATCCATCTGATGAGTCCCAAATGGAACGAAATGTTCGTCTTGGATTCCACTGCTAGCCACCTTTCATCTATGCTCATAATACTTGTAACTTAAGGCTATATTGAGGCAATCAGTACGGATCACACATATACCAATAAGAGACGGATCAATTGCATTCCTAAACATCACCAGGAAGATTCAAACAAACAATACAAAATAAATATAAGAAAGAGTTTATGATGTAATAAGTCTGACAATTGAATTTGAACTCATGTACATATTTTTGGTAAATTATATGAATAAGCTATTTGTGCATTTCATCACTTATTCAGATTAGTGATCAGATAGTTTGATTATCAACTTTCTATCACTCACCAAATAAACTAATGAAGGATGACATTAAGTATTGTATTTTACAGCTTGTGTTGCCAACATATCTGCCATCTATAAGCATTACAGATAAAAGTGTTTGTAGAATAATACAGATAACTGCTATATCCTTATTCTCCAACATTTTTCAAAATTTTTCGATTAAGTAACTAAATAATCCATAGATATATAGACATTAACTTAAATATATAGATTATTATTTTGAAAATATTATTTTTATCTAGATTGTTGTGCCATTCAGGTATAAATATTCTTGTCTCCTGGTGTGCAGTACATAAACGTTGATATTAAATGGTATGGCTTCCATATAAAATATAAAACTTTACCGTTCAAAACTTCTGTATCTTAAAATGTTGACGAATTTTAATTCGCTTAAATTGATTAGACAAATAATGTGATATAGTTGAGATCATGAGTCAATTGAAGCTAGACCACCATGGAAAACCTGGAAGCGCTGAACGGCCACTTCGTCCTATTGTGGGACTCCTCAGCAGTGCTCATCTACGATCACGCCTCGCGAGATTCGAACCAAAGACCTACCATGGTGGTCTAGCTTCTTTAGACTCATGATCTCAACTATATAAAATTACTAAGATCTCCACAAAACCCCCTTCTGAAAATAATATGATAATTAACTTTGAATAATTTCTTATCCGAAAATCTAAGCAGGAACCAACTAATTCATGTCATCAAATGAACTCAATGGAAGAAAATTGTACTGTTCAACTTGAGTTTTTAAAAAAAGGTGAACATGAGCTGAAGCAATACATGTTAGTGATCAGCTTTCACACTTGCCTGTCACGCTGTGGAAGATGTAAGAGCTTGTCAGTGGTTAAAATAACATTTACTTGTGAATCTGTTCAAATTATAACCGTAGTATTGAAATCAATATTTTTAAGGTGATTTAATTTCATATAAGAAATTCCTAGAATATTGTTTTAGCCACCGATTAGTCGACCCAGAATTTCACATTATGGAAAGAAATGACTAATTCAAATATCGTTACTTTATTATACTTAATGGAATAAAAAATGTATAAAAATATTGTACTGTTAAAGGTACGAAGAACACAAGATTAGTTGTATAGATTGTATAAGTGATTGACATTATCAAGAGTCGTAGTTTCACTTTACATGATATATATATAATCATAAGCTCTAAATCAACAAATTAAGTTATACTATTCTCCAAATAATATCCTCATTGTTCAATTTACAACATTTCCTCTATTCCAACAATTTTAAGTGTTTCTAGCAGCTCTTTTTTTGAATTTTTTATGTGTTAGAGAGAAGAATCAACTTGAACGTAACATATTTTATAGAATATACATTTTTATAGTTATGAAATAAGCTTCGTAAACCAAGTATTAGTCATTGAAGCATTTAAAATCATAAACTATCTTCATCATAAATTTAAAATTCTAAACATTCATCCATTCAAATATGTTGTTATAGTTTAAAAACAGTTGTGTATATACATTCTACGGCTTTTTATTGTATACTCTGAATACATGCAAGCTATTCAGTGTTTTTATTCATACTCACTCTCTTGTAGTATAACATTTTATATAGAATTCTTTTCACCCAGATACGACTTTACTTCTTAAATGTCAACTAGACAAGTTAATTTGTTAAAAATGGTAGAAAAAAAAAATAAAGCTAGGTTCCTTTTTTTACATTTTTTGTTTGCATAATCAGAGCTAAGACTGTCGTAACCAAATTTCTTTTGTTTGTTAAGTGTTAAATTCAAAAAATCAACTTCTCCTCTTTAACACGATATCAGTAGGATTATTTAAAAGATTAAATCTGTCTGATATGAAATGATTTTATTAACATTTCAGTTAGTGAATACGTATACAAATTTTGAAAATTAAACTATATTGTTTTTTCTTCTTTTTGACCCTGGTCCACTTGATGATTCTTATGTTATTTTACAGCTTACCTACTTACTTTCATCTGTTATCCCTCGTCGAGGAGCATAGGCAGCCCATCAGCATTCTCCATCCAACTTTGTCATCGACAATCCTTTCCAGTTCTAAATTGTTTTTTTCACATGTATTTCCGATTCTCAACACAGTGTGTTCTTTGATCTTCCACTTTTCCGCTTCAATTCAGGATTCCAACATAGTGCTTACGTCATGATGTAGTCTGATGTTTTCTGCAATGCATGTCCTATCGTTTGTCATTCATTTGATGTCCTATCCACTTACAACGTCTTTTCCTACTTTTCTCTTCATCTAGAAGCTGATTTGTGCCCTCCCACAGTA